GCATCTTTGAATAGCCACCTCACTCCAGCCTGGGCATCATAGCAAGACCCTGTCTCTTAAAAAACTAAAACAGCAGCAGCAACACCACCACCACCACACAGATGAGTCCAGAGACATCAGATAAAAACTCATATTTCAGAATAGAGAGCAAAAAGTAAAATCAGTGAGTAATCACCAGTCAGAAACAAATTATATTTTCTGATGTCTTTTATCTTGGTCAAACCTGAGTCTTGAGAGTACAAAAGGAAGACAAGAAATAACCCTGTAGAATACAATTATAAGGCATTCTTCTTCCATTGGAAGAGCTTGGATTAGAGTGGCATAGTAGAGTTGAAGTCATCTTCAGATATATATGGAGGGTGTGGGTGGCTGAGGAAGGGAGTGGGAGGCGATGCTAAGACACTGGCAGAAAGTACACTTTGCACAGTCTTGACATCGTTTACCTAGGGTTCATGATTCTCATTCCAAGAATAAGTCATGATTTTTTTATTGCTTCTTATTTCAGTTCATTTTATTATGTGTAGTAGTGTGAATAGACTTCTTATAGCAGTATTGGAATAAAGATTAAATTGTATACATTTAGATATAACATGATAACCTTTTATCTTCAACCTTTCAGCCCTCTTCCATCGCTAGAGTCTTCATTTAAGACGTGCAACTGCTAGTAAAACAATGGGTGTGCAGGGTACATTGGGATGGGATGGTGAGAATGGTCATTTCAAAACTATTCTCCATTTTATTGCCAGCATTATTTAACATTCTGGAAATGGGCCAACTTCATCTCTGGAAAAATTTGAAGAGTTGGCTGGGTTTCTCATCAGTCATGTTATGGTGGAATTTTCTAAATAAATAGTAAAGATTTCAACCATTGATGTGGCTTACATGAGTTCCCACATATGGATAATAAAACTGAATAAACCTGTTTTCATTTATCTGACAAAGCAAATAACTTCTTTTTTGGCTATTTTCCTGGTTCTTGATGCAACATGTGACACGTCTCACTTCCTGGACTCTCCTCCTTTGCCTTCTGTAATCTTAAATTTCTCTGAATTTTCCTAGGCCTTATAGTTTCCTTATTGCTTATTCATCTTCCTCTTTCTGTCATCACTTCTCATCCCCAGAGTTTAGTTTTGTTCCTCTGCTCTTTTAACTGTACACTTACTTTTTTAGAACACTTTAGTTTTTCGTGGGCATGATTCCAAAATCAACATCTATACTCCTCCTTGTTCATTCAAATGTAGATCCTATGCTTCTAGCTACCTACAAGAATGCTCTTTGTAAGTGACCTTACAGCTCCTCAAACTCAAAAAACATTTCATGCAGCAACTTAAAACCATATAGTAACATTATTCATGTGTCAGTTTGGTAAGATGAATTAGTTTGAAAATACACAGTCTGGCTGGACGCTGTGGCTCACACCTATAATCCCAGCACTTTGGGAGGCCAAGGCGAGAAGATCACCTGAGGTCAGATCACCTGAGGTCAGAAGTTCAAGACCAGCCTGGTCAACATGGCGAAACTCCGTCTGTACTAAAAATACAAAAATTAGCTGAGTGTGGTGGCAGGCGCCTGTAATCCCAGCTACTGGGGAGGCTAAGGCAAGAGAATCACTTGAATCTATGACACAGAAGTTGCAGCGAGCTGAAATCACAACACTGCACTCCAGCCTAGGTGACACAGTGAGACTCCATTTCCAAAAAAAAAAATTTTATATATATACACACACACACACACACACACACACATATACACACACACACACACACACATACATATATATATTCTAATAAAAGTGTGGAGAATCAGGCCCTCCTGTGTTCTGTAGGTACGACTGTTTGTTAGTATGTTTATTTGGTAGTATTTATCAACATTTAAAAGACATTTATTAAAATTTAAAAGAAATTATTTGACCTAGCTCTTCCATTTCTTTTCTTTTTCCTTTTTCTTTTCTTTTCTTTTTTTTTTTTTTCAGATGGAGTTTCACTCTTGTTGCCCAGGCTGAAGTGCAGTGGTGCAATCTCGGCTCACTACAACCTCCACCTCCCAGGTTCAAACAATTCTCCTGCCTCAACCTCCCAAGTAGCTGGGACTACAGGCGCCTGCCACCACACCTGGCTAATTTTTGTATTTTTAGTAGAGACGAGGTTTCATTATGTTGGCCATGCTGCTAGTCTCGAACTCCTGACCTTGGGGATCCACCCGCCTCGGCCTCCCAAAGTGCTGGGATTACAGGCATGAACCACTGCACCCAGCCAGCTCTGCCATTTCAATGAATTTCTCTTAGAAATACATGTTCGGCCGGGCGCGGTGGCTCAAGCCTGTAATCCCAGCACTTTGGGAGGCCGAGACAGGCGGATCACGAGTGCAGGAGATCGAGACCATCCTGGCTAACCCCGTGAAACCCCGTCTCTACTAAAAAATACAAAAAACTAGCCGGGCGAGGTGGCGGGCGCCTGTAGTCCCAGCTACTCGGGAGGCTGAGGCAGGAGAATGCACGAGTGCAGGAGATCGAGACCATCCTGGCTAACCCCGTGAAACCCCGTCTCTACTAAAAAATACAAAAAACTAGCCGGGCGAGGTGGCGGGCGCCTGTAGTCCCAGCTACTCGGGAGGCTGAGGCAGGAGAATGGCGTGAGCCTGGGAGGCGGAGCTTGCAGTGAGCTGAGATCCGGCCACCGCACTCCAGCCTGGGCGACAGAGCGAGATTCTGTCTCAAAAAAAAAGAAATACATGTTCATAGGCTGGGCACAGTGGCTCCTGCCTGTAATCCCAGCACTTTGGGAAACTGAGGAGGGCAGATCACGAGATCAGGAGTTCAAGACCAGTCTGGTCAATATAGTGAAACCCTGTCTCTACTAAAAATACAAATATTAGCCGGGTGTGGTGGTGTGCATCTGTAATCCCAGCTATTTGGGAGACTGAGGCAGGAGAATCACGTGAACCCGTGAGGCGGAGGTTGCAGTAAACCAAGATCACACCATTGCACTCCAGCCCGGGGGACAGTGCGAATGAGATTTTGTCTCAAAAAAAAAAAAAAAAAAGAGAGAGAAATACATGTTCATAAATATGTTTTAAAATTGCATACAATACTACCCAAATAAATTGACAGATTCAGTGCAATCCTGATGAAAATATCAATGACATTCTTCACAGAAATAGAAAAAAAAATCTTAAAATTTGTATAGAACCTCAAAAGATCCCAAACAGCCAAAGAAACCCTGAGGAAAAAAAGAGCAAATCTGAGGGCATCACACTACTAGACTTCAAAATATACTACAAACCTATAGTAACCTAAACAGCACGGTACTGGCATAAAAACAGACACATAGTCCCATGGAACAGAGTAGAGAACCTATAAGTGAATCCATACAGCCAACTGATTTTTGATAAAGGCACCAAGAACACTCATTGGAGGAAAGGACAGTCTCTTCAATAAATGATGCTAGGAAAACTGGATATTCATATGCAGAAGAATGAAACCAGGCCCACATCTCTCATCATATACAAAAATCAACTAAAAAGGGATCAAATACCTAAACGTAAGACCCAAAGCCATAAAAAATACTAGGAGAAAATACAGGGGACATGCCTGAGGATATTGGCTTGGGAAAAGATTTTATGAATAAGACCTCAAAAGCACAGGCAACAAAAGCAAAAATAAACAAATGGATTATATAAAACTAAAAAGCATCTGCACAGCAAAGGAAATAATCAACAGAGTAAAAAGACAACCAACAGAATGAGAGAAAATATTTGCAAACTATTCATCAAACATGGGATTAATATCCCAAATATACAAGGAGCTCAAACTTCTCAACAGCAAAAAACCCAAACATTCTGATTTTTAAATGGTCAAATGATCTGAATGGACATTTCTTAAAAGAAGACATGTAAATGGCCAACAAATATATGAAAAAATGCTCAATATCACTAATCATCAGAATCAAAACCACAGTGAAGTATAATCTCACTCCATTTAGGATGACCATTATCAAAAAGACAAAAAATAAATCCTGGTGAGGTTGCAGAGAAATGAGAACACATACATGGTTGATGGGAACGTAAATTAGTACAGCCACTATGGAGAACGGTATGGAGCTTCTGGAAAAAACTACAAAGAGAACTACCTAACGATCCAGCAGTCCCACTATTGGGTGTTTATTTAAAGGAAAGGAAACCAGTATATCAAAGAGCCATCTGCACCCCCAAGTTTGTTGCAACACTGTTCAGAACAGCCAAGATATGAAATCAACATAGGTGGCCTAAAACAGATGAATGAACCATAAAGAGCCATAAAGAAAATGTTTACATAAACAGTTGAATATTTTTCAGCCATAAAAAGAAATCCTGTCATTTGCAGGAACATGGATGGGACTAGGGGTCATTATGTTAAGTGAAATAAGGCAGGAACAGAAAGGAAAACACTGCATGTTCTCACTCATATGTAGAAGTCAAAAAACAGTTGATCTCATAGAAGTAAAAAGTGGAACAGGAGATACTAGAGGCTGTGAAAGGTAGAAGGAAGAGGGGTGTAGGGAGAGATTTGCTAAAGGATACAAAATTACAGCTAGATAGAATAAATAAGTTCTTGTGTTCTATACCACTGTAGAATGACTAGAGTTAACAATAATATATAGTTTCAAACAACTAGAAGGAGGATATTGAATGTTCCCAACACAAAGAAATGATAAATGTTCAAGATGATAGATATATTAATTACCCTGATCTGATCACTTTACATTATTATTATGTAACCCACCAATATGTAAAATTGCTATATGTCAGTTAAAAATGAAGCACATACATGAAGTCCCAGTACTCAGGAAGCTAAGAAGGGAGGATTGCTGGAACCCAGGAGTTTGAGGCTGTAAGGCACTATAATTGTGACTGAATAGCCACTGCACTCCAACCTGGCAACATAAGCAGGGACCATCTCAAAAATAAAAATTAAAATTAAAAAAAGAAAAAAATTTCATACAAGAATTTGCATTGCAGCAATATTTTGTAGTTGCAAGCAGTAATAGTAGCAAAAACAACACCATAAACAATCTTACTAAACACAGCCAAAATACTTATCAATACAGAATTGGTTAAGTATAAGTGAGTACCGAATTGGTTAAGGATAAGTGAGTACAGTGAAAAACTATGCAGCTTTTAAAAAGAATGAGGCATACCTGGAAAGCTCCAGTTTAAAAATACACTATTAATGGTAGTGTATGATCATTATTTGTGTAAAAGTAACTTTTAAGGAAGGATACACAAGAAGCAGTAAATAGTCACTAAGATTTGGGAGTGGGAATGGGAAAAGGAAGAAGATTTTTACTTTTCAATATATATCATATTGTATTGCTGAATTTTAAAAAAGTACTTACAGTTTTATTGTTAACATTTAAAAAAAACCCACTCCTTTCTTTCCTACAAATTTATCTCCTGGTTTGCCCAATTTCATTCGCATTACTCTTTTAACACTATGGCTTAGGAGTTTGAAATCAGCCTTGATTCCTCTTTCATTTTCAACTTTCTTGTGGAGTCACCAAATCCCCTTCCTCCTCCACAGCATCTCTTAGCTTCATCCTTCCATCTCCATTAAGGCTGCCTCTGCCCTGATTCTGAACTTATTTGCAGTGAGAACATGGGTAAGCCATTTAATCACCCTTTAATTTGCCCATATGTAAAATAGGAATAATAACTTCTACAGAGTGAAGAGAGGTTATTTTAGGATTAAATTACGTAAGAAAATCAAATTTGTGGCATAGAGTGTGTGCCCAATAAACACTATTTTCTACTTTCCCTCTAGGGTTTTTTCCTATTGCTACTATATCCTCTAGTTCATACTACATGCTGCTATCAAGTTAATTTTCTGAAATGCTGTTTTCATCATTGAATTCCTTTGTTAACTCCCTTTTGTGCTATGGCCCTACTCTGGAATCACAGATTGACAAGATTGGCATCATGACAGCTGGTGAGATGATGAGGCTCTTGGAGAATTTCTTCTGAAGGAGAAGAGATGGTTGTTGCTGTTACCATGGATCTGGACTAGCAGAGTTAGGGGCTACCCCTGGAACAAGTTTTCCCCACAGTCAAACCTCTTAACTTTCATCCTTGAGATCCTTTTGTAAACTCTCTTTGCTCTAATTTGAGTAGAAAGTAACCAGTAAGCAGGGGAAGCCTCAACTGCTGTACTCAATACCCAAGATCTTGCATCAATCAGCTTTACCGTATCTATTTTATTTTATTTTCCACTTTTCCTTAATTTGATTCAAGTCAATCCATTTCTTTACAGTCTTTCCCATGCTCATTTTTAAAATAGAAAACTTTTTTTTTTTTTTGGTGCAAAAGTTACATAAGATCATTGTAAAAAAAAAAAAAATCTTTTTTTCAGGGTAAAATGGAAAGTTCCCTTCTATCATGCCAATTTTACTTGTTAACAAAAAAGCTAACCAAGAATTATTTAAGATAGAAATTTTGGTAGTGTTAGTAGGCTTAGATGAGAAGAAAAACTGTAATTGTTCACCTTTTGTATCTGTTTCAATAGCACTGATCTTTTTTTTTTTTTTTTAAGGTTTTGGTAAATGTGAGGCAAAAATGCCATTCTCTAGATGTGCTCACAGGACAGATTAAATGCTACTATTCCTATTGCTGAACAGAGGAACTAGAAACAAAGAACATCTAAAATGAGCAAAACAGATAAGCTTTGTGTAGGAGATCCCCAGGGCCAACCAAAGCTTGGGTAAAAGGAGATACTACCTGGCCCTGCTAGGCATTCAATATTTAAGTCCTCAGACTCTCTCCTCTCTGCTCATAGACCACCCTCAGGTTCTCCCAACTGAAGTGTGTAAGAATGGACTGGGGCCTACCTTGCCTCCATTGGTCTTGAACCTTCAGGGCCCCGGTTTCTTCTGTATGTAGATCATTTCCTAGGAACTGCTCCGCTTTCTGAGTCCCAGATACAGTATTTCTTGGGATGATCAACCGTTCTTACAGATCAGCACTGCTCCTGCCACCAAAATTCTCCATAGGCTCCCTTAAATAAATAAAATTCTTACACTTGGTTATGGAACTGAATTGGTCATTGGTTTACATACACATTAAAAAGTGTATTACTGTGTGGCATATAATTTAGAATTGATTAAATATGATAATGCGGTCATTTAAAAAATGTATGGCATCAGACATTTGGTTACAAATATAACCCTGTTGGTGCAGCATTGTTCCTATGAGAAAATCACAATATTTTAATTTATTAATTATTTATAATTATAATAGTATATATTAATTATTATACCTCTTTGATTAATGCAACCCACTGTAAGTTTAAGTACTTCTTGTCCTAGTGTTACTATTTATAATCATTGAAAGTCTGTTTAATTCACTATGAAGAGATTGAACATGCAAATGTTGCCAACTTTAATGTATTATTTGTCGGGTAATCAAAATTTTAAAAACAGAGAGAGGCCAGGTGCAGTGGCTTACGCCTGTAATCCCAGCACCTTGGGAGGCCGAGGTGGGCGATCACGAGGTCAGGAGATCGAGACCAGCTGGGCCAATATGGTGAAACCCTGTCTCTACTAAAAAATACAAAAATTAGCCGGGCTTGGCGGCGGGCGCTCCTAGTCCCAGCTACTCAGGAGGCTGAGGCAGGAAAATTGCTTGAACCTGGAAGGCGGAAGTTGCAGTGAGCTGACATCACGCCACTGCACTAAGGCCTGGGCGACAGAGTGAGACTCCGTCTCAAACAAAACAAAACAAACAAACGAACAAAAAAACAGAGAGGGAGGAACACATACATTATGGACAGTAGGGTATGAAGAGGAAGGAAAAATAACTTCCTTTATTGAAAAGAAATTTTTCTTGACCATATTAATTAATACTAATTAATAATTGACTTTGATGTATTTGCAGTCAGTACTACATTGCCCTGTTTTAAAAAATAGAAAACAGAATTCCCAATGGCTTTTCTCTTTTGTTCTGCAACATTAAAAATATTTTACTTTGACACCCTGCTGATCCAATCTAATCCAGCAAGGAAAGGCAGACGAAGTCAGAGGACAGACCGTTGTGAATTCTATATCCCTTTCTAGACACACAACTGTAAGCTCAAAAATTCATTCTCTTATACATTTTACTTGAATTAGTATTCAACTCCAAATTTCATATTCCACCTCTTTGCATATTTATAGAGCCCTTAAAAGTCTTCAAAACAGGGTCAGTCCTATTGGCTTGTTCATTTTCCAACACTACGTTGTCACATACAAAGGTCTGACTATACAGTGTGTCTTCCGGAGCATATTATTAAGATGCTAAGTGATACCGGGCTCAGCAGTGAAGGCTAAGACCACTTTGGTAACCCTTTCCTGATGGCAAATATTCCCTTTTGTCTTTCCTATTTGTTTGAAAAAACTCATTTCCTTATATTCAAGTTTTTAGACACTTTTTCTCTAAGACTGTAAGAGTAAAATTTTTGACAGCAGAAAATATGAATTGAACATTCTCATATCTATTGTGAGTTTAGGGGTACCAACTCAAGATCTCTGGTTTATTTATCAGAAATAAGCATCTCTTTTGATGCAATTTTCTTAGCAAGTTTGCTGTGATCGGTCTTTTATCATCCATTCATTCAACATCGATTGATGACCTAAAATGTACCTTTACCTCAACATTTTCCTAAATCCTATGATAATTTGGTGTTTTGTTTTATTTTACTGCTTTGGGAATAAAACGTTGTTTTAAAATTTCAAATAAATTATGTAAATGATAACCCTTATTTATGTTCTTTTTTTGGTAAAACCTAAAGGATTATTGATAGATGATTTCTCTCGATAAAAATTTATACATACTCCTCAGAGGGCCTTGGAATGACCTTCCTTTCACTTTTCCTGCTGACGAGACTTCAGATGTGGTGGTGAGCTATTTGAGATCATATGCACACACGTAACCACTCTAAGGGGATATAGAACAAGATGGAAGGAGCCAGAGTCCATGAGTCATGAAGACCCCATATTAGCCCCAATAAGATATTCTTAGTTTTGTGTTGAATTATACTACCTTCTATTGTAGCCTTACAACTTGTACAGTAAAGAAGCTGGACTCATTAATCCATGGTATTCAAGACTTCGCAAAAAAAATTATGGTTGAATTTTTAGCTAATGAGGAGTGTGAATCAATATTAAAAGTACACAGTGACTGTTTTTTCCCCCAAATGTTCTGGGTGGTTCCGACTTTAAATAATTTATGATGTTGTCCCTGTACTGCATATAAACTGGTAAGACCCTGTAAGATGTTTTGATTGAAAAGTACTACACAGTTACTGAAGCAGATAGTTTCAGTTGCAAATAACTGAAACTGCAAATCAAATAGATTTTTTTGTTTGTTTGTGTTTTTTTGAGACAGAGTTTCACTCTTGTTGCCCAGGCTGGAGTACAGTGGCATGATCTTGGCTCACTGCAGCCTCCACCTCTCGGGTTCAAGTGATTCTCCTGCCTCAGCCTCCTGAGTAGCTGGGATTACAGGCATGTCCCACCATGCCCAGCTAATTTTGTATTTTTAGTAGAGATGGGGTTTCTCCATGTTGGTCAGGCTGGTCTCGAACTCCCAACCTCAGGTGATCCACCCACCTCGTCCTCCCAAAGTCCTGGGATTGCAGGCGTGAGCCACCACACCCGGCTCAAATAGGTTTAAAAATAAAGAAAGTGTTAAGTCTCAGGCAACTGAAAAGTTCAGAGGTGGGCTTCAGGGAAGGCTTGGTCTGGCTTCATTTCTTTGAGAAATGTCTTGGCTCTGCTATTCTCAGTAATCTCCACCACCAGGTTAGATTTTCCTCATGAGAACCAAGGTAGGGACTTCTATTGCTTCCAGTAGAATTTTTAGCTAGATCCATGATTGCCCTCTTTTCACCATTTTCCTCCTTCTCATTGGATAGAATTTAACCATGGGTAATGCGTCACCTTGAATCATACAGGGTTATATGGTAATTCTATGTTTAGCCTTTTCAGGAACTGCCAAATTGTTTTGTATAGTAGCTGGACCATTTACATTGTATAGTAGCTGGACAATTTTACAATGCACAAGAATTGTAATTTCTCCATATCCTCATCAGCACCTGTTATTTTCCATTTTTTTTATTACAGCCATTCTAGTGGGTATGAAGTGTTATGTCATTGTGGTTTTGATTTACCTTTCCCTAATGACTAATGATGTTGTTAATCTTTTCTTTTCATATGCTTTTTTGGCCATTTGTATATCCTCTTTGGAGAAATATCTATTCAAGTCATTTATCCTTTTTTAAAAAACTGAGTTGCCTTTTGTTATTGAATTATAATAGTTCTTTATATATTTTGTATGCTAAGTCCTTACCAGATAAGCTTTCTCCCATTGTGTGGGTTCCCTTTTAACTTATTAATGGTATCCTTTGATACACAGAAGTTTTTAATCTTGACGAAGTCCAACTTATCTAAATTTTTTGCTGCTTATGCCTTCTATTTTTAAGAATCCATTGCCAAATCCAAGGTTATAAAGATTTACCCTTATGTTTTCTCCCAAGAGTTTTATGGTTTTATCTCTTCAATTTCAGATAGTTGACACATTTTCAGTAAATGTTTGTATATGATGTAAGGTAGGGGTCCAGCTTCATTCTCTTGCCTGTGGATATCTAGTTGTCCCAGCACCATTTGTTGAAAATACTATTCTTTCCCATTGGATGGCCTTGATACTCTTGTCAAAAATCAAATAACTATAGGTATCTACTCCACTGACTTTTGCACTTTCTCTACCCAGACCAGACCAGATGGACATGTGAACTTAATATATTTTTAAAGGCATTTCTGATTTAGCATGTGGAACCTATCCACTCTACTTCCCAGATATATCTCATATGTGCACTTTTCCCTATATTAAATGCTACCACTCCAGTCCAAGTCTCCATCAACTCTTATCTGGACTCCTGTATTGACCTTCCACTAGGTCTCCCCTTTCCTGTCTTTACCATTCCAATTAGTACTCAAATGAGCAGCCAGATATATAATGTAAAATTAAAATCTCATAATGTCATGTCACTCACTGGTCTTAAATCCTGAATGTTTCCAGAATAAAATTCAAAATCTGTAATAATCCCAAGGCTGCATGATTTGCCCCGACAGCACTTCTTCATTTCTAGTTTAGAAAAATTATACTCCAGCCTCTCCAGACTTCTTTCTGTTTCTTGGATTCACCAAGCTCTTTATTGCCTTACAGCCTGGAGTAATGATCTCTGCCTGGAATATGTACTTCTTTCCACTCTTCACTTAGCAATAATGCATGCTTTAGCTCTTGGCTTACAAAGTTACTTCCATGAAGAGGCTTTTGCTGACTTCCACACCTTTATTCTCTCTCATTGATCTTTGCACTTTTATTTCCTAACCCTTATTATATCATATACTTATATATTTGTTTGTGTGTGCTCCTTTTAAATGTCTGGTTTCCCCACTAGAATGTAGGCTCCCTGAAGGCAGAGCTGTGTGTGTTTTATGTTGTTACTGTATGTTCTATGCCTAGGACAGTGTCTGGTACATTAAAAAATGATCAATAAATGACTATTGAACAAATTCATAGTCAATACCTGCAAAATAAGAGTGTTTAGTTTATTTGTTCTCCAACTCTTCATTAAACATTTGTTGAATCCCTGTTAGTCCTAAATGCTGGGAATAAAATTATGAGCAGAACCCTGTCCCTGCCCTTTAGGAGGTCCCAGTTTATTGGGACAGTGTAGTGGCCTGAATGGTGGGCAAAATATCAGACCCTAATCCTCCCTAGAACCTGTAAATGTTACCATATATGGAAAATGGGTCTTTGCAGATATGATTGAAGATCTTGAGATGAAGAGATTATCCCTGATTATCCAGGTGGGCCCTAAATGCCAATCCTTATAAGAAGGAGAGGGAAGGAGATTTTACACACACACACACACACACACACACACACGAGAGAGAGAGAGAGAGAAAGAGAAAGAGAGAGAGAGAAGATCATGTGAAGATGGAGACGGAGATTAGACTGATGCAGCCACAAGTCAAGGAATGCCAGCAGCCACCAAAGGCTAAAAGAGACAAGGAACTATTTCTACCCTTGAGTTTCTGGACTCTGGAGGGAGTATGGCCCTGTTGATACCTTGATTTTAACACACTAATATTGATTTCAGACTTCTGGCCTCCAGGACTGCAAGAGAATAAGTTCCTGTTCTTTTAACTCACCCAGACTCCAGTAATTTATTACAGCAGCCGTAGGAATTGAATGCAGACAGTGATGCAAGTAAATAAATCCTTCCAGAACAACATTAAATATGGAGATAAGAATCAAGGTGGTGGATGGTTGCAGAGGAAGGAACTATCTGGAAGGTGTCTGTGAGGAGCCCCAGAGGCAAAGACACTGGGCTGGTTTTCAAAAGGTAAGCCATCATTTTCCAGGCAGTGTTGGGGTCAGTGCACAAGGAGGTGATTCCTGGCAGGTGCCGCAGCATGTGTAAAGTCATGGGACACATAGAGCATGGCCTCTTCAGAGAAATGGAACATATGGCTTCAGTTGGAGAGTTAGGAAGATAAAGTATTAGGCTGTTTTCACATTGCTATAGAGAAATACCTGAGACTGGGTAATTTATTTAAAAAGAAAGAAAGAAAGGAAGAAAGAAAGAAAAAGAAAGAAAGAAAGGAAGAAAGAAAGAAAGGAAGAAAGGAAGAAAGAAAGAAAGAAAGAAAGAAAGAAGGAAAGAAAGAAAGAAAGAAAAAAGAAAAAGGAAAGAAAGAAAGAAAGGTTAAATTGGCTCATGGTTCTGCAGGCTATACAGGAAGTATGATGCCGGCATCTGCTTGGCTTCTGTGGAGGCCTCAGGAAACTTACAATCATGACAGAAGGCAAAGGGGAGAAGGCATCTGACATGGCAGGAGTGGGAGCAAGAGCGAGAGCGACGGGGGAAATGCAGCACACTTTTAAACAACCAGATCTCGCTAGAACTCTGTCACAAGAACAGAACAAAGAGGATGGTGCTAAGCCATTCATGAAGGATCCACCCACATGATCCAATTACCTCCCACCATGCTCCACCTCCAACACTAGGGTTTACAATTGGACCTGAAATTTGGGTGGAGACACAGATCCAAACCATATCCGAGAAGAATGGTGGGAAATAAGGAGGGAGATAATTAAGTTGTGACCACACTGTGAAGGGCCTTGTATACCATGGCAATGTGGTTAACCTTTCTTCTGTAAGTAATAGGAAACTGATGGAAATAAAGGGATGACTGATTTGTGGAAAGCGAAGCTCTGCAGCAATATAAATAGTGGACTAAAGTGAGGTGAGCGCATCTCCATTCTGCTAGGAATTAGATAAATAAGATAAATAAGACATAGGTCTTGCCTTTAAGTAACTTAGAGACTGTGAAGGAAAACAAATAAGGAAGCAAACACATATTCTATCCCAGATACTCGTTTTAAGCCTGCGGCAATCATCACATAAGAGATGAGAGACTAAGGCAGTCATAGTAGGGATAGAGAAATGAAGGTATTTGGAAGTCATCTCTATGGTATAAATTAACAGAACTTGGAGACCTACTGAATATGGGGTGTAGGAGAAGAACTCAAGGACGAATCAAAGAGTTTAGCTTATGGGGCTGAAAAATACCATTAACAGAATTATATGGGGAAAGGTCGAGGAACGCTGGTTGAATTTAGGATGCCTGAGGGATAGCCAAGTGGAGGCTTCAGAAAGATTGTTAGAAACATCAGCTGAGAGTCTAGTCATCAGCAAGAGAAAAGGGAATGAATAGGCAGACACATAAAAGAAAAAGATCTGGGTCAGAGTCCCGGACAGCACTAGAACTTGAATAGAAAATGTATAGATGGTATCATGTACCAAAAGAATTGTACACATGAATGAATGTTCAGGAGTTGTTGAGATATTGATGACTTTTTGTTGTTGTTGTTTTTGGAGACATGTTCTCGCTCTGTCACCCAACCTGGAGTGAAGTGGTGTAATCATGGGTCACTGCAGCCTCAAACTCCTGGGCTCCAGTGATCCTCCCACCTCAGCCTCCAGAGTTCCTGGGACTACGAGCGTGCACCACCATGCCCAGCTAATTTTAAAATTTTTTTTATTTCGTACAGATGGGCTCTCGCTGTGTTGCTCAGGCTGGTCTCAACTCATGGCCTCAAGCAATCCTCCCATCTCGACCTCCCAAAGCACTGGGATTACAGGCAGGAGCCACCATGCCCAACAACATTGACGACTTAATCCCTTTATTTGAAAAAAATGGGGGGTCTCTTATAAACCCATATTGTCCCCAGGTCAATAAACTGGGAAGTTTCTTGGCAGGCTATACTTTTGTGCCTGCTGGCCTCTCTAGGACCCAGCTAAGGGTAAGGTTATGTAATTTGGTGAACCTGAACATTTACGTCAATAACCAAACCCTTGATCAAATTATTAAACAATTAATCCAGTGAGCACTTAATGATCCTATCTAATTGGTCAATAGGCTGACCATAATGAAAATCGAAATGCTCCTGTCACAACAATTGGACCAATTCATCATGTCAGTGTTTGTTGAGATAAGCATTCACTGTTTCAGTTGTTAACGGGCTTCCGGCAAGATTGGCAGTTACTCTGCTTAAATTAACGAGTGCCAGAACTCATTAACCTTTTCAGCCCTCATTGCCCACTCTGGGTGTCACTGGCCGACTTGAGACATGAGCAAGGGAGGGAAAAAGAAGGAAGTGAAACAAGGAAAAGAAAGAAGATAGGAGAAAAGGAAGAGAAATGGAGACAGGAAAGAATGAACGGGAGAATTAAGGAGAGAGGAGAAAACAGAGAATCAGAAAAGGAAAAGATTTATCTGAATTTGTTCCTAAAGGGTAGGATGAAATAGTTTAGCCACTGCAAGAGGAAGGCAGTAGTGAAGTACAGTGGGAAGCAAGACTATTTTTTTTTTTTTGAGACAGGATCTACCCCTGTTGCCTAGGCTGGAGTACAATGGCATGATCACAGCTCACTGTAGCCTTGAGCTCTCCAGCTCAAGCAATCTTCCCGCCTCAGCCTCCTGAGTAGATGGGACCACACACAGCTGCACACCACAACTCCCAGCTAATTTTTAAAATTTTTTTGTAGAGACAATATCTCCCTCTGTTGCACAGACTGATCTCAAACTCCTGGGCTCAAGCAATCCTCCTGCCTTGGTCTCTCAAAGTGCTGGGATTATAGGTGTGAGCTACTGCACCTGGTTGAAAGCAAGAATTTTGATGTCAGACAAAGCAAGGCTCTGAGCCCTGGCTCTGTGCACTCTAGTTGTGTGACCTTGGACCAGATAACCTCTCTGAGTCTCATTTTCCTCCTCCTGAGAGGTTGTATGGTGCAGAGGTAGAGGTCAGTGTTTATGGAGTTGGGCTTAAATCTTGATTCTGCCACATACCAGCTGCATGACCTTGGACAAATTATTCTTAACCTCTCTATGACCCAGTTTCTTCATGTATTAAAGAGGGGATAATAAATAGAATCTGCTTTACGCAGTTGTGACTCTTAAATGAATTAATACTTGTAAATCACATAGCACATTGTGCCTGATAATGTTAGCTATCAACTATAAAATGGAAACAATTAGACTGTAAAATATTTGTGAAAGCTCCTAGCACAGTGCCTGGACTATGGAAAGTGCCCATAAATTGTGAATCCCCTTCTCTTTTCTCAATTTCTCACATGCCCCAGATGGAGCTGATGGTAGAAGAATGATTGTTCTTTAACTCTTCTTTCCTCATCAGGTACGTCTGAGCCCACTTGGAACAGGCTATTCTGACCCCCATCTGTGTTCCGGTCTCATTTAGCTCTGGGCCAACCAGAGCACAAACAGGAGAAGGGTTATATAATAGGTTGCTTTTTTCTAAAGCAATCTTAAGAGTAATTACAAATGGTCTGATAAGTTCCTAGTTAACTTTGCAGCAGCTTCAAAAGCTCAAGACTTTTCAGACAGTAAACTTGGTATATGCGTGGAATGTTGAATAACACAATAACCCAGCTGAGAGATCTAAGACGACAGAAATTAAAGTCAATACTGGTAAAACTCAGTAACTAGAAAATCACTGCAATGTTCATCCCTTTGTGTGTGATTTTATAGAGAGCAGAATATGGAGTAAAAGAGTGAAGCAAGTATTTGTGACCCTCTTCTTACTAATTTTTTTTTGAGATGGGATCTACCCCTGTTGCCTAGGCTGGAGTGCAGTGGCATGATCACAGCTCACTGGGAAGTTTGTTGGCAGCCTATGCTTTTGTTCCATACTCACTAATGGAAGTAAACACCTTTACAGTGTGCACGCGTGCACACACACACACTTCCTTTTCACACAATTCATTAGCTATGTGAAACCAAACTGTCTGATTTTTTTAAAAAGTCCTTCTTATTTTCATATTTAGCACAATCTTTTCATCCAAAACCTAGGCAGGTATAATAAATCCTAAAGGGACACATCCATGAATGAGTATGGAGAAGTGTGCATGGCGATTTTACTCCCACAATGAGGGGAGCACAGAAACCACTCTCTCCACATCCCCTGGCCTCCAGATCACATCTAGTCTCCAGTGGTTTCCATTTACTTTCTTTTCCAAAAAATGTGATTGACACATAATAATTGTACATACTTACGGGATACAGCGCAATAGTTCCATATATGTATACAACGTGTAATGATCAAATCAGGGTAATTAGCATATCCGTCGCCTCTCACCTTTATCATTTTTTTGAACTGGGAATGTACAAAATTGTATCTTCTATCTATTTGAAAATATAGAATAAATTATTAATGATAATCACTCTACAATGCTAAAGAACACTAGAACTTATTCTCCAGTTTAGCTATAATTTTACCCTGATCAGGGGACTATAAGAAACCATGATACCTGACAGGTCCCCTGTGGTGCCAGCAAATATAGACAATCCTAAATAGTTTAAAGGGGTATCTGGAGTCAAACTACCTGAGTTGGATTCCCACCTCTACCACTTATTAGGGGTATAAATTGTCCAAATTTCATACCGCCTTCTTGTCTACTTTTCCCCATCTCTAAAACAGAGATTTTTCCCCATCTCTAGTACCTACCTCATACACCGCTGTGGAGACTACAGAGATGAGTAAACTCAATAAATGGTTAGCCCAGGCTCTGCCTCACGATAAGCAGTCAAAAAACAGTTGCTATTCTTTTCAATAGCTCAGGAGGAAGCCCAAATACCAGGCAGACTGTGGAGAAAGTCTTTTGCCCGTTGGCAACAGATGAACTCTTTTCCCAATGTGCGGGAGATATTGAGTTAGTCATAAATGCAGCAATGTGTTGATCATGTTGACGTTATCAGGATGTGGCTATCTTTTTAAGTGTTTGCTGTATGCTAGGTTATCTGTCATGAACTGCTGTCAAGGTCACATGTCAGTTGGCTTGGAACTACTGATAAATGTTCTTATGAAGTATCTGCTTCTTCCATATACTGTGTGGAAGCCTGAGCAGCCTAAGGCATGTGAGGCAACCTGACAAATATTTTCTGGAGAGAAACTTCAGGGAGAAGGATTGTTAACACTTACCAAGCTCAAATTACGGTGTGGGCAATGGTGGAGCCATTATGCAGTCGCTCCTACATTTCTGCCACCCAGGTGGTCTCTGAAGGATTTAGCTAGGGGAGCATCTCCTCTTTCTTAAATTTGGCCTCTGCTTCTCACCTGGTGATATCCTTCAGCTAGGTCAGCTAGAAGGGGAATAAGGATTTTCATGTATTCAGGGCTGACCTCAGCAGGGCCCACCAACTTTTTTTTTTTTTTAAATTTATTTATTATTATTATACTTTAAGTTGTAGGGTACATGTGGGACACGGCATTTAGAGATAAGATAGAGTTAGTGAGGAGGAAAAAAAAAGATATTTGTTGAGAGTGTGGAAAGAACCTGTGGGTGCAGAAAGGGGGAAATTCAGTTAATGGGTAGTGGCAACAGGGCAGATCACTAGTTCCCTGGAGCCAGCAGGGTTTTTTGTTCGTTTGTTTTGTCTAAACAGGTTTAAATTGGTTTTGACTGGAATTGAAGTGATGCTTCAACTTTATACATCAAAAATGCCTCTTGCGCATTTCCCATCATTCTGCACTCCTTCTTTGTCCTTACCAAATTAATAAGTCAACATGGGAACTTCATTTGCAGGGAAAAGATCAACATTGCCCAAAAGAAACCAGGTTGGGGCAGAGCTCAGTGTCCCGCCATACTCTCCATCCGCTAAAGGTGCTGGGGGGACATCAGTTGGCTTGGGAGGAACTTTGGGGAGTCTGCCTACATCCTTGCCTGATCCCACCTCTCCCTGTCCAGCCGGGACTCTACCCCTCTGCCCCACTTCCAGGGCTTCAGCCTCACTGGCCCCCACTCCCATCCTAGAGCCCTTCATAACAAGACTCTAAGTCTGAAGCTTAACACCCGTTCCCTTCACCTAGGTGACTCCACCTACTCTTCCCCTGAGGCCTTTTCTTGTTCCTTGTCCCCAACTTTAAATGAGCTCCTCCTGTATTTATTTTTCACTGCCCCATGCTTTTCCCCTTCTCAGCACTTAACATAATTTAGGTTTGTTTGTTTGTTTGTTTTCTTTATTTATTGCCAGACTCCTGCACTGAAAGTTCCTGGAGGGCAGGTATCATGTCTGTCTTAGTCACTCTTTTATCTTCAGGTGCATAGGAAGACTTCAATTAATTTTTGTTGAAAGAATGAAAATCTTGGGTTTTGAGACTCTATGTATCAAGATTACACTTTGTTGGTACTAGTCAGAAAGTCTGGATGGAGGATGAGGTTCAAAAATTTTTTTTTTAAAAAAACTTTTTTCCCATACTCAAAGTCTTAAAGGCCCAGAGAGGAGATAATACATTTTTTCCCCTAAACCTTTCTCTCAGGGGAAGTCTTAGAAGACTTTGGCCCTAACTATTCTGTGAAAGATTAATAAAGGACAAAGATGCACATCACAGACCCACATCAGATATGTTCCTTATGAAGCACAGACTGAACTTGCCAAGAATGCAATAAGCCCAGCCCCAAACCCAAACACCACACACAGTCTATGAGTGGTTTTTTTTTTTTTATTTTTTAAAGAGGCAGGGTCTTTCTATGTTGCCCAGGCTGGAGTGCAGTGGCTATTCACAGGCTCCATCACAGCACACTACAGCCTTGAACTCCTGGGCTCAAACGATCCTCCTGCCTCAGCCTCCCAAATAACTAGGACTACAGGTATGTGCCACTATGCCTAGCTGATTCTATGAGATTTTAACAGACATGCGGTTTGACAATGTATAATGAGTTTAACTGCACCCACCACCGCCACACCATACTCCTCCCAGTATAAGTCAACTGCCAACCTAGATATAAACACGAGGGAAGGAGAAAAATAGCCAAAAAGAAAGGGGAATCTGGTATGACACAAAGGACAGGAATGCGGAAGCTAGTAGGTAAATTTTAACCTAAGTATTTTCAGATGTTTAAGGACAGTAGTAGTGTTCCTTGGGGTTGGAGACAGGATGGCTATCGATCTAGAACAAGCTTGTGTGGCTGCATGCAGCCCAGGATGGCTTTGAATGCAGCCCAGCACAAATTTCTAAACTTTCTTAAAACATTATCAAATTTTTTTGCCTTTTTTTTTTTTTTTTTTTAGCTCATCAGCTATCATTAGTGTTAGTGTATTTTATGTGTGGGCCAAGACCATTCTTCTTCTTCTAATGTGGCCCAGGGAAGTCAAAAGATTGCACATCCCTGATCTAGAGACAACACTGAGGGTTTGTTGAGGAGGGGTGGAAGGGTTCCTCTCCTAGGTGCCTTGTGTTTTGCTACTTTGTAGCAAGACAATGATGGAAATGGCACATCAGAGGACATGCACATGTAGCTGATGTAAGGTAACTGGCTGGAGCCACCAGTTCACCGAGTACCAGGTACATAGCAGGTACTCAGGACATTTCCTGAATTGCAAAATCCGATCAATAATTCTCCAGAGCCTGTAGCTATTTTTCCCTGGATCAGTCTGAAGTCCTATTTAGTGCATGCCAAAAGGAACATCACCCCCTAAACAATGAACTGCCACCTCCATACTCTGCTCCATACTCTGGCTGAAATTCTTACCTTCATAGTTTATCTGAAATTGTTCTTTCAGACTAAGTTCAAGAGCTCCCTAAAATCTCCAATAAGTTTTTTAAAATCCACGTACATTAACCCATTAATACCCATTAGCTCTGGTGAGTAGATCAGACTTCTGCAACAGAGTAGGACCCAGAGGGTAGGGTAAGCAGTGTGTGATAGGGAAGTGGGGAAAGATTTCTCATTTCACCCACGCTTCAGCCTGATAAGGGAAGGAGGGCAAGTACTGGCCTCCATTTTACAGTTGAGGCAATTGAGGCTCAGAGAGCTAAGTGACTGGGCTGACACCACAGAGATACAGAGTCCTGGAGCCCAGGACAGTGGTGTCTCCATCATGTTGCCTCCACCTGATACTTGCTTGGTTTGTGCTGATAATTTCAGAGAAATACTTAGTGATTGTCCATAGCTCAAGAGCACCCAAGAAATGTTAGTTCCCCCTGAAACCCTTGCAGCTCCTGAGCTCTGAATGGCCACTTGCCAACAACAGATAACAAATTTGCCAACAAATGAATATTGTCCAGGCGGGATCGGACACAGGATATGATAATTGCCATTAATTTTGTATTAAGTGACTGATAAAATAAATTGCATCAATCTGTTAAACATTCATCCAGCACATATTTAGTGATCTCCTACTGTGTGCCAGGCACTGTTCTAGGCCCTAGCGATATAATAGTAAATAAAAGAGTTTTAAAAAAAATCTTTGATCTCCTTAAGTTTGTATTCCAGTGAGAGCAGACATCAAGTAAACAAAACAAATGAGTTACTTTTACAAATGGCGGATGGAGATAAGTGCGAGGGTTACAAATGAAGCAGGAGAGAGGAACGCAGAGTACAGGGAGGGGAGGATGATGGATGTGATTTTATACTGCGTGATCAGTGATGGGCCATTAATATGGTAATCTTTGAACCAAGTCTGGTGGGAAGTGAAGGAGTAAGCCACGAGGAGACGGGGGAAGGGTGTTCCAGGCAGAGGAAACAGGAGATACAAAGACTGCACTCCAAAAATTTAATGACATATGTTTAAGAGAATCCTGAGTAAGAAATGTTCAGTTTAGTGGTTCCTATGGATGTAGTTTTTGATGAAGAGGGAAAAAAATACTTAGTTAACAGATAAGACTACAATTTAAACATTTGGCCTATAATTACCAGAGAAGAAATCAATATTTGAGTCTTGGACTATGATTTAAATAGGAAATTACATTTTTATATCACATTTTTATTAGGAAAAGCTTTCACTTATTAATTAATAATTTACTGACTGAGAAGGTGTTGCGTAATGTACTGATCAAACCAATTCTTTCATATTTTAGAGGTGTTTGCATTCATCCTGTAGTATTAAACAGGGCAAAGGTATTGTGAACATACACAGATCACGATTATGTCTCAGTGTGTAATGGACACGATTTGGTTCAGGGTCAGACTAAGACAGAGGAGTCGTACAGCCCAGGAGACTGGAATTTGATTGCTCAGGTCCTGCATAAGTACCTGTAATTGGAGAGCAGATCTTGGCAGCTTGAGGACTCAGCTATGCTGTTTGGGAGTCTCTAGGGTGACAATTGTGTGGCTTTAAATATACATCTTGAATGGCTGTGCACTGAAATGTCCTTGTGGGGGACTAGCTCCTAAACTGTGTATCTGGAGTTGCCATCCAGTTTGAGGTGCCCTACTGATCACATGAACTGGATTATGGTTCAACCTACCCTTCACTTTATGCTACATAAACTAGCCTCCCTAGGTAGGGTGGAATTTATTGGATACAATAGACATCAAATCACCATGACATGTCTAAGGGACTAAGTGACATAGTGGTATCTGGGTCATATTATCTGAATCACAAATAAGGAAATGTGATTTGACAAATGATTTTGAGGGACTCTGTGTATTTTATTACAATGTTTATTCACTTACCATTTTGAGGAAACACTTGAATTTCTAGGACATTGTGGTGACTTTTTGAAAACAAAGAGACAATATTTTAAATCAGCAAGACAGTTCTGGAAAATCCAAGATGTATGCTTGTCCTACAGGACAGGCCTAGAGCCACTTGTCCTACTACCTTTATGGCAATGGTAGGGCTAGAGGAAATACACAAAGCTCTGGGGTAAACTGGATTAACCAAAGTTATGGTCATTGTCAACATATAGG